TCCTTATCATATTGCAAGATAAGAAACAGCCACACTTGTCACTTATATAGTTAATTGTGAATCTCCAAACTCCACATGCATTTTACATGTTGACTCCCAAGGGTAAGTAGATATCTTGATTAGGTTATTATATTAACTTTCCACTAACGATGAGTTTTTCAACATTTCTTCTTTGTCTCTTCTTTCTTAAGAACASCCTTTAAAACGCTCAGTGATTAGTGTGATCATAGGTTTAACTGTTTTTCTAACATTAGCTTTTATTAAAATCAGGTTTGAATGTCCTTGATACTGTAGTCTTTCTGCCTAATCAGTAATCAGTACTTCTCCAAACTCTTATTAATCAAACACCTCTAATATCTCCCAAGCACAAATTTATACAGAAAGTAATAAAAACTAGTTTTTAAATATTATGTGGAACCAGCTGTGTCAAAAGTAGTTTTTAAACTATTTGTTGTGGAAAATTTGCAATACACAGAAGGAAAGAAAAGTATAATGAACTGATGCCTGATTTTGTTTCATCTAAACCCCCACTTATTCATCCATCTCATGATGGCTTCATTGAAATCCAAAGGTCATATCAATACATACATTTTTAAAATGAGTCTTTTAAAATTATGACAATAATACTAATTATTAAATTAAATTTTATTTATCTATTTTTGATGGTGCTGGGGATTGAAACAAGGGCCTCACGCATATTAGGCAAGTACTGTATCACCAAACTGCATCCTCAGCTCCACTAATTTTTTTWAAAAAATTAATAATAACTGCTTAACATCATCAGATATTTTACAGTTTTTTCTGTTTGCCCTCTTGTGCCACAGTTTTGTTGCTGGTGTGGTCTCCAGTCTCCTAGATCTCTTTTAACTTACAGATTCCATTCCTCTCTCTTGCCACTCTTCTCATTTCTCAATKATTTGTTGAAGAAGCCTATAGTCCCCACAGCACATGAAGTTCCCAACTTTGATCTCTACATGCTATTTACCACTGAAAGGAACTGTAACGTCTTGTAGTAGTGGCTGATTCCAAGTGTGGATCATAAAGAGTATAGAATGGCACAKGAGTATCCTGTTATACCAGAAGCAAAGGAAACCATTAAAAGCCACTAGGTTTGTATTAACAGAACCCAGAAGGTTACCTGAGGAAGCTTCAACTGATCAGAGACAGGACAAGGAAGACGACTAAGCAAAAGAAGCGAAGCGTCACTCATGGAACCACATCAAAAAGTTTAGATCCATGAGTTTATAATGATAACCACAATTCAAGAGGAGTCCTGATCTGTGGGGGATATTAGGGAGTCAGTGAATTATTTTGAAAACTGGTTAATACATGGGAAAATAAATAAATCTCTATCCTTTCCTACATGAACTGCACCTCAGCTTAAACAAGCAGTTGATCAGGTCTTGTTTTGTTTACTTTAAAGAAGCTAGGACAGAATTAGAAATGTCATAATTTTGCAACCTCTAATGAAATATGTAGGCAGTGATTATCAGAAGCAGCTAAGATTATGAGAAACACCCAGTATTTGAGGGGGTCATTTCACCCCCTGATATGTTTTTGTAAGACAAAAACAAAAATTGTACTGCCCTAGTTACATAGGAAGAGGAAAAAAAGCTATATTGTTTTTTTTTGTTTTGTTTTGTTTTTTATCTTTTTTTTTATTCTAACAAGGGAGAAAGAGGTTAAATATAAAGGTTATAGAAAAAGATAAATTGGAATTTTACTGTCAAGGCAAGGACTCCCRAAAACAACAAACACTTTTAAATAACCACTTGTTAAAATACATAGCAAATAGGAAAATGTGGTTTCAGGAAACTTTTAAGGCAGAACCAAATGGACCCCTTCACTAGTAACTTGATGCTTCTCAGATGACACAAAATGTCAAATTTAGTCCCCACTCATGTATGTAAAGTGGCTCAGGGAATTTTTAGGCCATTAACTGGCTTAAGTAATAAAGTTTCTGAAACTCTCAGCCTCATTTTTTCATGAAATGAAAATGAACATTGTATGAAAATAAATATAGTATGAAATGAATATAGTAACAATGTCTACTATAAGGCACTGTACAAGGATTAAATGAGGTAATGCATTAAAACATATCTACTCAGAAAAGGTTACCTGCAATAAACATATTARTAACGCATTATCATTATGCTACAATTCTCATAGTTAATCTGAAACTTCAAAAAACAGAACTACAAGAGAGCATAATTCTGGCCTAGGATTCTAGTCTAATAAGCAAGTAGATAGAAGCTTAGGGAACAGAGTTTTTTTGAAAGAGGCATTAAAAATTTCACCTCAGCCTATTCAATAGTGCCTTTGCTTTTTTTTTTTTTTTTTCTGTTTTAGTCTTCTGTCCAAAAAAAGTGATTTTTAATTCTAATGCTTATACTATTATTTTATTTATGGTACATTTTGCATAGAAACTCATCATTCAAATAATTAAATTGTGGATATCTTTGTATGCATTGGCTGCTCTTCTCAGGGCATGGGCCCTCTGTGAGCTTCCCCTTCCCAGGGAAATCTACATCAACTATCAACTGCAGTCAGTTTAGAAGAACGAGCTGCCTGAGTTCAGAATGCAGAAATGTCTCAGCTGTGAAGTCTGTTTAATAATTTTATAACAACCTAACTCTTCTGATTATTAGGAAAATGTCCAGATTCAACACAAACAATTGTCATTGAAAAACAAATTTTCTTCTTCACCCCTGAACTGTAGGTGAGACTAAAACTACCCAGGTTTAGCTTCTTTTCTACTCACCCTTTGGGAATATAAACACAGACAGTCATCATCATCATCATGGTAGTCATTGTCATTTGATTATATCTATTACATCTGAAAATAAAAAGTATATGAAAATAAATATAAATGGATACATACTAAGTCTATAATGTAGTAAAGATGGAAAAATTAGTTTTAGGTTATAAAGATGAGGTAGCAATATATCTTGATTTTCTTCACTGTGCTTTTTTAAAAAAACAACTCCTCTATTTAAAAGCCTAAATACTTTTTTAAAAACATTTAAGAATATTGTATAAAATGTTTGACTCTGTGTTAGTCAACTTTTCATCACTATAAGAAAATGCCTGAGATAAGTTATAGAGAGAAGTTTTATTTTGCTCCGATTTCAGAGGTTTCAGACCAGGATCAATTGGCTCTGTTGCTTTTGGTCTGATGACATGGCAGTACATTATGGTGGGAACACAAGACAGAGCAAAACCACTTACCCCATGGACAGGGAGCAAAAGAGGAAGAGGATGGGGCAAGGTCCTACAATAGCCTTTAAGGGCATGCCCCCAGTTACCTAAAGACACCCCATTATCCTTACTTCTCAAATATTCTACCACTTCCTAATAGCGCCTCACTAGGGACCAAATTCTTAATACATGATTCTTTGGGGGACATTCAAAATCCAAACTATAGCATTCTGTTAATGATTCATGTGACTTTGCTTTGAACTACACCTTCCTGAAATAGGCTGTAAAAGTCAAAGGCAATTCAACTATAGCTTCAAGCCATTTTAGCTGTAATAGTATTCTTTGTTTAATAAAGATATCCATACTGATAAATGGAGATGATGCTAGGTCTCCCTAGCAAAGACAAGGTATAGAAGCCATAAGCCACCTCTCCTAAGGGAACAACAAAGTTCCAGGGTGTCCAGGTAGAGAGTCGCCAGTCCTACTGTCCTCTTTCAGGCTTTCCAGGCTTACGGAAACAGCATACAGGAGAGGTCAGAGGAATGGCAGAACTTCCTCCAGGATAATGAGCTAGAAAAGAAACCAAAGACCTGAATGAAGCAGGTCAATAAAGTATTTGAAAAGTAGCASGAGGAACATTTGATGATCAAGAGGACTACAGTGTCAAAACAGGAGACATCTAGACTACAGATAGGTTTTTTTTTTCAAAAAGCTATGAATATATAATTTTAACTTCAAAAGTTAAAAAGTTAAATCATATATTGATTAAATTACTTTGTAAATATAGTTAGCCTACTGTATGAGGTTTCCACATCTGTGCATTCAACTAACCATGGATCAAAAATACTTGAAAAAAAAAATTGCATCTGTACTGAGCATGCAGACTCTTTTTCTTTTCCTTAGTTCCTAAACAGCATAATATAACACTTATGTACCTAGCTTTTGTATTATATTGGGTATTATTAGTAATATGGAGATGACTTAAAGTATATAGGAAGATCTGTCTAGTTAATATGCAAATACTACACAATTTTGTATAAGGGACTTGTGCATTCATAGATTTTGGTATCCCTGTGTATGGTTCTAGAACAAATCCCATTAAGAAACCAAAGGAAGTGACTTTATTACACATTTATGAAAATATATCAAATCATATTACAATTATATGTTTATTTAAATTTAATGTGCAATTTCATCCATCTCTTCCCTTTTACATATATAGATAGATAGATAGATAGATAGATAGATAGATAGATAGATAGATATATTCCTCTGCAGCAATGCTCATCTGGATGTTTAATTGAAAACTGTTTTTGAAGACAGAGATTACTGAAGAGAAAAGGGCTTTATCTTTTTATGTTACCCTTACTCCTAGGGACACTGGCATTTAGAGCCTGAGTTTATTATCAGGATGCCATCASTCAAATGTCCTAAATACTAGCAAAATAAGTATGAGAAAATAAAAACACATTGTTTTTAACCTTCAGCCTACTCAGAATCTACATAGATAAGAATTTGAGGAAGCCAAAGAATGTGTCACCCAAAATGACAAGAGATTTTTTTTTTAATCTTTAGACTTTAGTGAGGTAGACTGACAAGGTGAGAGTTCTCCAGTATAGGGGGGTAGTGCACTTAGCCCCCATGTGGTGCTTCAGAATAGATCAGAATGTGTCTCAGAAGTTTTCCAACAGTGCAGTTCTCTCTGTTCTGATGGGTGCAGCTTAATATCATTGAGGATCAGCCACATTTGATGTATTGTTGTCTGTATGACTTACATTATGTCAATATGTTCATTTCCCTAGGTGTCATTCTCTATATCCTACTGGTGGGGTATCCACCGTTCTGGGATGAAGACCAACACAGACTCTACCAACAGATCAAGGCTGGAGCTTATGATGTATGTAATAAGTATTCATGCCGCCTTCGAGGAGTGTTTGTTTTGGTTTATTGACTCAGAGTCATATTTTCTCATTGTTCATTTAACCACAATTTTCAGCGGTTTCCCTCATTTTCTTCTCCCTTAGGAAAGGGAAGATAAAGAGAAAGAACTGTAGCAAATGTATACATTTGGTATTTCCTTTTAATTCACTATCTCCTAAAATGTAAAGAAGTTTGAAGTCTCTGAAGAAAGACTTGTCAAAATGTTCAGATTTTAGTGCATAAGAATTAAAAAAGAAAATGCCTGTTTCAGAACTGATTACTACCTTTTTAGTTGAATTTTAACCCCAAATGCCTATCACATGGTTTTAAATTGTGTATCAGTAATACTTTGCAATGATTCATGTACCAAATAGAATATCATTTTACTATATCATTTTTTGGTCTGGTTTACCTTAATGAGTTTATATGTAAGCTTTTATTTGAACAATGGGTTTCATAATTGAAAAAAATACTGGATAATCACAGTATCATAATTCTAATACATTTAATTTATAATTAAAATGGTTGAAAGTATATACACACATATTCATGAATTAGGTTTAGTATCTAAAGAGGAAGGATTTGTTTATCTACTTTCTGTTGATAACTTAGCTTTGAATTCCCTGATGTAATTTCCTCTCTTGAAAAATGTAGTCATGTGTTACTTAATGATGGAGATAGTGTCTGAGAAATGCATTGTTATATGATTTCATCATTGTACAAACATCAGGGTATATTTGCACAAACCTAGATAGTGTAGATCAGTCACTTGGTGTGGCCTCTTRATGCAACAGATGGAGTAAACATGTGATCTGTGATGTCATTACACATGTGATGCTGGAGTAACATGGTGTGCTATTTTATAGTCAATTGTTTTTTCAGAAACGAAAGAATTATACTCTATAAACAACAATAAATACATGGTAAGGTAAATACATAAGCATATCGAGTAATGTAGTTGTTTATTATCAAGTATTATGGACTGTACACAATTGTATGTATTATACTTGTGTGACTGGCAGCACAGTAGATATAATTACACTTGTGTCACCACAAACCCATGAGTAAAGCATTGTGCCATGACATTGTGATAGCTATGACATTGTTAGACAATGGAAAATTTTAGCTCCATTATAACTTATGATACCACTGTCACATATTTGTTCCATCATTAACCAACACATCCCAATACCAAGCAGTATTGGGTCCATGTTATATGCACAAGTTAAAAGTTCAGTGTGGAAGTGATATGAAAATTTTTATTATATTTTGTCCAGTCTCAACCTGTTCAATGTATTTCTGGGAAAATGTTCTATTTACATGGATATCAGTGTATCCGCTATCAAAAATTTAAAATGTCTATTCTTTTTATTTTGAAGCCTTCCTTTCTAGACAGACTAATAATTGGACCAAATCATCATTGCATGCTACAGCTAGCACAATCACTATCTTTACAGACTAGAACTAGGCCCCTCAGATGCACTGCTTGGTGAACACAGAGGAGTGCCTTTGTGGAAACTAGAAACATGAGGAAAGGACCCACCTTTCTTTAGGCAGAACTGACCCCTCATTTGYGGTCAGGAAACCTGCCAACATTGAGACACAGCTAGGAGTGTTTTCCCAACAGTTCCTAAGAGCAAGTTTATATAACTGCTCAAGATAAGCTTATGGAATTTAAAAATTACATTGTTAAACTGGCAAAAATTGTAGGTAATAACAAAGCAATCACATTTCTCTCATCTTTCATTTGGCTATTGGATCACAAACTGCTAATTCTGTAACTACTGAAAGTGTAAATTCCAAGACACAGTGATCATGGTTTTTTTCACAATTGTCTATAAAAGCGAAATGTCTATAAATAGAAATTATCTATAAAATCTAACAGGCCTGTAATACCAATGACRTGGGAGGCTGAGGCAGAAGGATCACAAGTTCAAGGCTGGTTTCAGCAACTTAGCAAGATCCTCAGAAACTTAGGAAGAACTTGTCTCAAAATTTAAAAAATAAATAAAATTTAAAAATAAATAAAAAATTAAAGGGCTTTGGATGTAGCTCATGGTAAAGTGCCCCTGGATTCAATCCACAGTACCAAAAAAAAAAAAAAAGAAAAAAAGAGAGAAAATTCATGAACTATAAAAATTTAGCGACAGATGTGCTGAAAATTTCTCTTAACCCATGAAGGATATTGTATCTATTAATTAAGCTAATTATATGAAAATAAAATTAAATGATTGCCAAAAAAAATTTAGTGTAAAGAAAATTTGGATCCTTAGCTTTATTATATAGTTATTAACTTAATGATGGAATACTAATGGAAGTTATTGAGAGTTGGGTACTGTCATGCACTTGGGTGAAATGTATAGTTAGATTAAACTTCTTGAGATGTTTACCTGAAATCCTGATGATGTTTTCGTAGTCTCAGATTTCTTTTCACCATAGCACTTCAAGCAGCCATGATTTTTAGGTCAGTGTTGGCCCAGGAATTGAAGCTGTTTTATTATCTTTGCTCTTACTGTTTGTGAGATGTGAAAGTATATAATATCTCATATTGAGCTGTGGAATGTAGGATAGCATGATGACATTAGCACATGTGACAACCTCACATTTTTTACTTACTTTTGCAAATAATTATGAGAAAGATTGCATACAATTTAATTTTCAGATAAAACAAAGATATTTTGAGAGGAATAGAAAATTCTTAGGTTGTTTTACTAAATTTTACAATGTATTCACTATGTGTAATATGCAATTTAGTATATGTGTATGTCCCTTATCTATTYAGCATATATAGATTTATATATGGAGTATATCTAGATCAGTTCATCTATTTTGGATATAATTTAACTTATACAAAAAAGTAAATTTATAAAGAAATTTACTACTTATGAAATTGTTAATATATTTATCTCTTCCTCATTTGACTGAATGCATCTGTTTTTTWAAAACTCTCGATAAATTTATGTCTTTGAAGTTTCCATCACCAGAATGGGACACAGTGACTCCTGAAGCCAAAGACCTCATCAATAAAATGCTTACCATCAACCCTGCCAAACGCATCACAGCCTCAGAAGCACTGAAACATCCATGGATCTGTGTAAGTAACAATTCTCCAAAAACCTTAGGAGAATGAAAAAATGAAACTCTCCATTAATATATTTTTCATGAATTTTAAAATAATTTTGCAGAAAAAAAATGAAAGTCAGAATGAATGGACTTAAAATAAATTTTATAATTGTAACAAATCTGCTTTGCACAGATTTCTAAGTAAATATTGTCTATAGTAACACAAGGAACAGACCATTTGCCATAATAGTTATCAACAAGACTGATGAATACAGGTTGATAAGATAATCAAGAGTTAATGCATCCCAGAAAAAGAAAATAGAGTTCAATTATTTATCATTAGCAGCTTTAGAAACAAATCTGAGATTTGAAAACTAAGAGTGGGTTTTAGTAACATTAAAACATGGCCATAATGGTCCGAATGTACTTTAGAAATACGAAGAAAAAAAATAACACAGAAGTACTAAGAAAAAACAGTGGAAAACTTGGGGTACTCTAAAAGCTTAAGTAAATTTCTAGAATGAGTATCAAACATTAGGGCAATAAATATGGTACCAAGTAAAGGAAAAGCAGTCCAATAGAAATGTGACTGAAGATTTACTGAATTTAAGATAATGTGGGAAACCAGTGATATTCATTTATAAACATATAAACTTTCTATACATAAATGTTTCAGCTTAGTTGCTAATAGTCTTGAAAAAAATTATTCTCTTTTTTTTAGTTAACTTTGGCAATTGAAATTAATCATGAGTGCAAGCACTATTAATAAAGATTTAATGAAGTTGAAGATACTATTATGCTTAGTATGTTTTAAATATCCTCAATGAAGTTATTTTTCTCCTCTTTCAGCAACGTTCCACTGTGGCTTCCATGATGCACAGACAGGAGACTGTGGACTGCTTGAAGAAATTCAATGCTAGACGAAAACTAAAGGTATGAAATTTCATGTTTTTGCGAGAGTGGAAAATGAACTATTGTAGGGGGGAAATAACTTTTAGCAAAAACTTTTACATGTAGATCTCAATACTCATATTGTTATGTTTCTTGGTTGTGGGAAAATGGAATATGCACCATAATCAGGCAAAAAGAAAATCTAGGATCAGTGTGGTGCCACATATAGTAGTTTCTACCTTCAGGGGAAAACAGCAGTGTGATTCATAATCCATCTGGCCCACACATTGAGGTGATCCCAGCATCACAAAAGGCACAGGTCTAGGACTCTTCTGGAAACAAACAAACAAAAAAAAAACAATAAAAAAATTTCCTAACTGAAAATGAGAACAGGAGAAGATTTGTTGCCCTAGACTATTTATTAGGTAAAAGATTTACAACTTGATTTTTTTTTTCTTATTTCTCTGACAGGGTGCCATTTTGACAACTATGTTGGCTACGAGAAATTTTTCAGGTACATGCGTTCAAAACTGTTCTCCCTATTGTCTGCTGTCCTCTGTAGTGGTCCTTTTTATTTTTTTGTAATTCAAAATCTAATTATTAGAAAAATTCTATTGTTTGGGTATGGCAAATGTGTGGCATAGATTCCTTCCACACCTGTGACTGCCAYTGGTACTCCTCCAAGGTATTGTCTGCTGCAGAAACTCTTGGGACTGCAAGCCCTCACAAGAGAATCCAGAGAATTCTAGGCAATAGTCAGTGCTGCTACGGACTAGACACCCTTCTCTCAAATAGTGGAGTGCAYACAAATATTGGAGATATGTACTTCCTCATTTTGTAGTTTTCCATATCAACCCTAGAATGTATTAATTGTTATTTCATAAAATAATAACTGAATAAGTTTTTTGTCTCATTCTTATAGGAAATTCCATTAAGCAATATTTCTAAAAGAAGACCATTATTTTGGAACTAATTTCTCTTAGGCCTAAGTTCTTTCCAAAGTACAGTAGTATATTGGAATGCAATAAAACTAATTACAACTGCCCAAGGTATCTAACTCCAGAACTTAAAGAGAACCAGCCACACCGACATATCGTAGGATAACAAATTCTCCTCAGAATGGTAAAAATAAGTGTGTTGAGCAGAGTCTAAAAGAAGCCAAAGAGATGAATTGTTATTAAATGACTCCAAAAGGGAGAGAAAAGGATAAATTATTTTCAGAAATTTCAGAGTTTCCTTCTCGGATAGATTGTCCAAAAGCTCCAGGTTTCTAAAATTTATATTTTGAATAATCAGTCTTACATATGGGGAGATATAGAAGCAGCAATGAAGCTACAATGGATAAGCTTACAATTTTGACATTTAGACTTAGAATAATTATCAAAACTTACTGCCAAAATATTACCACCTTAGTTTTCATAATAATGATACACAGCATCAATCTATCCAGCTATTTCAGTTCTTTATTTTGCTGAGCCTGGATGTAATAGTGACATCAGGTGAACCCATTGTATTATTATCAACTATTCTTCAATGATTTCCACAGCTATATTAGTTAAATGGTGACTTCTGCATGTTTGCCATCTGGTTAGAGGTAATATAATACATAGGCTGTTAACCAACAGCAGTAATAATAGTACAGTCAGCAGTGCTATGAACTGAGGGACTCTGTTGGTCATTTGTATGTATGTTGTTTGGTGTAATAAAATCTTGCTTGTTGTCAAGTTACTTGTTTTGTAAACAATTGAATAATGTGGTTGACATTTATATGAGTGAGTTCAATGCCATCTCATTATTAGGTAATAGACACTATATTGAGATAAATTAATATTTACTGTGGCCCAATAATTCATGAATCATTGAAAGGTAGGATGGCTTATATCATATATATATTGTTAATAGCAAACTAACTTTAAAAATATCTCCAGAATTAAATTATGTATTTCGTGAAAATGTTAAACACACTCAGTCATCAATTGGGCCTTTATTAAAGAATGTTTGTACCCATTTATATAAACTTTTTGTTTAACTCATATTTTCCTTTCCATCATCCTGTAAGCTAAAAATTCATGACTAATATATGGATTTTATATCATTTCTGAATGTCTTAGCATGAAAAGTAAATCTTTTTTATCCATCACTTCAAAATCAACAGAATAACATTAGACTCAGTTACATCTTATACTTGATATTGCATTTTAGTTTGGAGTATGTTATTCATTCTATTTCATTGCCAAACATGCTCTTTAAATAATCTGTCCATGAGTATATGGTTATAAAGTTGTTTTTATTTTTTCTTTTCTCCCTGTATGTGGAATGTATTTCTTGTGAGGTAAGGTGATTAGTAACCAAAAGGAACTTCTCTGCATCTCCTAGGCCAAATCGCTGCTTACCCTGGATCATTGTCTTCTTTTTGCTTGCTATTGCAATTCCAGTTATTCTGAGTTTGCTTTCTAACCTATTAACTGCCACAGGATTTACTTAATATTATTGCTTTTTAGCTCCAAGCAAACAGTATTATTGCTAAGGCAACAATTTCTTTACAACCTCAAGTGATAATAAATTAACAGCCTTGTTGCTAAAGACTAAATAAAATTAATACTTTTCTATCTTTTAAATATATTTAAAATTATAACAAAGTCATCATCAATATAACGTCCCAAATACAAGAAATATCAGGAAATGAAGTTTATTTAGCTAAGTACTTTCAATTCAGTTGCCAAATTCTATTTTGATGCACTTAAATATTTATTACATACAATTAACATAAAATGGAAGTACACACTTTGTTCTACATATTCATGAATGTTCTACACATGATGTACTAATTGTCATTGACAGTTATGTTATCTGTTCACTCTGTGTGTACCCATTCATAAATATATTTTTGAAAGGATGACTCTTCTACCTTTTAATATACTCAAGAAGTCCTATAACAAAAAGAATGATGAAGGCTTCCCCCCAGGAAAAATGAGAAATGAATTTTATAGAAGACATTATGCTTTAGGATTTTTCTGATTTAGTTAAAGATTTTATTTTCTTTTATACCTTATCTCAAATTGTATGGTTTTAAATTTTCAATTTTACTAAAGTCTTTTGTTTAGTAAGTCTTTATATTCTAATTCTGAAGTATAAAAGAATATATAATGCCATTTTTTAAAGATCATGTGCTAAGCTTTTAAAAAATTTGCTCTAGGTCAATAATATGCCATTTTGTTATAAGTGCAGTCATTAATAYTTTTTACAAAAGCTAAAATTCTCTGATTTCAAAAAATATAAAGATGTTATTTCGCCAGAGCAAATTTTTACAAATGAGTTTTCAACCTCTAGAAAGAGGAGCTTCAATGGCAGAACTGACATGGCCACCATACTTGTGGTGTGAATGAACATGTAATACAATCTGTCAGCTGATGTCTCAAGATTGAAACTAACTTTCTGGATTACAAAAGGATAGTCCAGTTAAAGTTCCAGTATCCTTTTCGCAACCAACAGTAAAGTCCAATAACACAACTGGCAAAGTTTCAATTTCTTTCAATGAACTACATAAGAACTTAGTTCTAAATTTGTTGTGGCAAAACCAGAAAAGTGATACTGTATTTCAATGTCCTGTAAGCTCGCGCTCATCAGTGTGACCTTGATAACTTGGCATATGTTGGCCATAACTCAGCAAAGGTGGTAGAAGGAAACAATAACCTGCCTGTCTTGTTTTGATGGACAATTCACTAAACTGATTTTGCTCTCACTTTGCAGCAGCCAAGAGTTTGTTGAAGAAACCAGATGGAGTAAAGGTAAGTTAAATGGGTTATCTTCAACCATTTTTGACTTTCAGATGCTGGATAATTTTAAATATAAGCCCCAARTCATTGCAGTTTTTGTTTTTTATTGTTCTTGATAATAAGATGCAAAATGAAATATTAAAAAAATTAATAAACAAAGACAACTAATACATATACTAAGTTGTGTATTTTTTATTTGTTTATATATTAAATAATCACCAAAAAGTAGTATTCATCTATAGAGTTACCATAGAAACTGAATGTCTAAATCCTCTCTGATTTACTACAGTCCCAAATACCATGGTGACCTGAAAATCCGTGAAAATTAAATASTTTTACAAATAATTATGATGTATGCTAAAGATTGTTGAAGTGTATAACCTAAAATAAACAGTAGGTCTGGAAAATGCAACGTCAAATGACCACATTTCTCTACTCGAGTGGTTTTTCTAAGGTCTTAATTGTTCCTGTGTTTTTATCATAAGGTTTAGAGACATATTCAAGATTCATATACTGAACAAATATTAGAAAAATCTTTCAAGGAAGATAACAACAGGATATTTTGACTTCTCGGATTTCTAATCAAAATGATGCAACTTATTTTCTACTGATTGTATTTTGTTTTAGGGAGTTTTCTTTTGATGGAATGTAATTTTATATTTGCATAATAATGTTTGTTATCTTTCCATAGTATGATCTAAATGTTTCATTTTTTTAATCCTTCTCTCTCTCTTCCAATGGCAGATTCATACATTCCTCATCAATGCTTCAACATTGTTGGGAATTAATTAATATTCTCATATTTGAACTTGACTCAAAGTCAGGTGGTCAGTTCACATTGAAAATAGAAAGTAGAAATCATTTGTCAGTTCTTCTGTTCATACCCAGTCATTTCTTCACCACCTGTCTGTGTGCACTTTGAGAATTTCCTGAGTCATGCACTTGTGATTCTCATTARGATGGCATTTCCGATCACCAGTTGCTTCCCTCAACTTATAATYGTATCTTCTTTTTACTTATTTTATTCAGTCTAGATTTTGGCAAAGACTGTTGATTTCTGCTTTTTCCCTGATGTTACATTGTTAGAAATATGGTATTTTAAAATAATCAAATGTCTTCTTTTGAATTTTTCTGTAGCACTCAGTGATGGAGAATTCACAGTTCCTATTAAGATGTTTATTTCCACTATTATCCTTTTATAGAAAGAAACATTTTCAGAACTTTTTTTTCTTCTAGCCCACTTATAGCTCCTCTTTGAAAACTAAATTATTCTGTACTACCTGCTTTGGCACTTTAAATTCAACGGGTCATACTTTTTTCTTTTCCTTTCTCTTTGACTGGTCAATTCAGAAAAGGAAGTCGAGTTCGAGTGTTCAGATGATGGTGAGGATCTCTATCTGCCAGATTTCTCCTGTGAAAATTCACACTTAGGAATAAAACAGTCTTATTTAATATAAGTTAGTGTAAGTGGAGGAAGTATAGAATCATCACGGGTCAGTGTTAATCAACTGTCAAAACATGGTACCCACTTTCACATTATATTGTTTTTCCTCTGAAGTTAATATTTTAAATAGGTAAGAAGTTAAATCCTCATCCATATGCTGTTAATGAATTTGACCTTATGCAAGGACAAAGTCATTTTCTCTTTGAAAATAAAAGGACCATGACATAATTAATGAATGTTTACCGACAAGTAAAGAAATGCTATGGAGTTATCTTTCAAATRAAGATCATGGTTGCTAAAATAAGAATTATTCTTTCTATAATACATTCGCTGTTCAGTTTATAAATAATGTGAAAGTGATCTTACAGTGTATCCATCATAACTAAGCACCTTTAAAAGAAATATGCATTAATCTCAACATTTAATAAATTCAATGTCTGAGAAAGAGGAATATATTACCCATGCTTCAAAAGGGTAATTCAGTGCATCATTTAAATATTTGATTCAGTTTGGTTTTTTTTAAAGAAAAATATTCTGCTTCCATACCTAAACATAGATGCATTCACTTTTATGTTTAAAAGACAGTTAACAAAAGACACTTGTATCTTTTAAAAGACAGTAACTTAACACAGCTACATTTCTCTTGTATGTTTAAAAGACAGTTGTGCTTGAACCCGTACTTGCTATTTGACTCTTTGAAAGGAGGTTCTTCTATCGTTTTACTTAGAAATTTACTATTTTCAAATTAACTAATTTTACTAACACCTTCAGCATATTCCTACAATAAAAAATTCATTAAGCTAATCTTTTCATTAACAAAATGTTTCCAACTGCACATTTAAATATGATTGAAAGTGGTAGTTGAGACTTATATCTATGTACCTCATGTTTGCCATGCCTGGTGATACAGGATGGTTTATCCACACAGAACAACCCTCATTTGGGAGAGATGATGGTGTGTGTGTGCTGTGTATCTATAGGTGAATGTGTATGGGAGGATGGTAGGCATGTTTGCACTTATACAGATAAACTCATGTGCATAAGTATGCATGTGGGACATTTTCACTAAAATAAAGCATTTCAAAGCAAGCAATTACATCCTGGGGTGGGAAGAGAATCTCAATCTTATCTCAAAACAGAAATAAAAATATCTCAGAATATTTCTCTTTTATTTGCATCCCCCGATATGAACTAAATACAGAATGTTAAATACATGTAGTGCTTTAATCATACATATCCCTTATCATTTGACAAGAATCCAGCTGTTTTGCCAAGTGCTCTTCCTTCATAAGAAGTATTTGTGTGTGCATCCCTCCCTTATCTCATGTATTTTCTACTAACAGAAGTACATTTTGATCCCTCTTTAATAGACACCACTACCTCTTATCTCTTTTTGGCTCTTATCCAAATTTTTGCATTAAATTTTGTGTAGTTTGATTTAAAGAAAAATTTTTCTAAAACTATCTGAACAGTATAGATTTATATAGTTTAATATTTAATGAGTTTTCCAGTAAAGTTTAAAAGTTATCTGTTTTTCTGCATGTCACAGAGCACAGTATTACAAATTATCTAAATAATACTACTGATACCAGTAACCACACAAATACAAATAAACAGAAAAGCAAAACATCTCATACATAAGTTATTTTTTTATATTCTATCTTCCTCTCARTGCTAGTTTCAATATGATGTATGGGCATAAATTATTAGATATTCTAGAAATCCTGAGCAATTACCCATGTAAACGCTTATAAATACTCATCTGGTATTTGTTTATTTTATGTAGCATGTGTTCCTTCTTGAGTCCTTAAGTACATTTACATTTGTATTAAAATTATGGGTTTTCTTTTTTAATAAAATAATATATTGAAATACCTAGATTACATAGTATAATTAATGTTTATATTTGCTTGATAAACATAATGCAATATATCATGCATGAGTTTAAAACAATGTTAGTTTTTTTTTTTTAGTCTGATTCTTTAGTGCCCAAAATCACTTTGTAGTTTCAAGTTGCTTCTAGTCCACAAAGAGTCTTCTCTGTGGGCCATTACAATATTTATTTACCTTCCGATTTTCTTTCTCAACATGGAGCCCACAGTGGTACAGATATCTTCTTTAAGGGTAAACCCAATTATTAATGCAAGCGAACTGTATTACTAAATGTGTTCTTTTAGGATAGCAGTAACACTTTGAAAGAAAATATGGTGTTTTCCTCTTAAGCAATTGTGAAAAATAAGGTCCTTTTATCTTCCGTATAAAGACTTTGACTTCCCCTCTAAATAACAGAAGATGTATTTTTAAAGGAGACCCAGACTTAACATTTTTAAAAAACATTTTAACACCTGCCTTTGTCAGAAAATCCAGGTTTTTAGTTGGATGGTAGTGAATGAAGGCTCCCCAGAGAAAGATGGTTTATGTATGACTTCAGGCTCAAGAATAAAATGGGGGGGGGAAAAAAGGACTGTAACAGTGAACAATTGGAAGCTTGGAAACAGAATCCAACCTGAAGAGTATGAAAACGGTCATATTCATTTCATACTCTCCACTTGATCTGAGCTCCACTGAAGCGGCTCYTTGTCTGTTTGCCAAGGGGGCACAGCCAAAGCTGCCACATCTGTTTTCTCACCCACCATCACAGACAAGGTCGTCACCTGTGCATGACCTTCGGAGACTAGAGTGATCATCATCCCTGTCAGTTGTCACAGTGTCTTTCACGTTCATCTTCAGTGGCTCTTTATTTTCATGTCTATACCTCCACGTAGACATGCCGCGGAGAGAGACTTTGGCTACCGAGGGGTTTAAGGCGTCTCTGTTTCTATTTTCTGCATACCCACAGATAAACAACAAAGCCAACGTGGTAACCAGCCCCAAAGAAAATATTCCCACCCCGGCGCTGGTATACCTGGACTCTTTGTAACCCTTCTTAACTTCGTCACTGTTTTTTGTTGTTTCTCTCATTTGCTTCACTATGTAGATACATATGTATATATAAATATTTTATTTTGTTGGGTTTTTTTCTTTTTTGCTTTTTAAGATATGGAAAATGTTCATCTCTTTTTCTTTTCTTTTCATGTTAAGAGAGTTGTCAAGCAGTATGTTTCTAACATGAAATTATCTCATTTCATTGTTGAACATTGTGCTGGTCTCTGTGGTTGAAATTTTTGCATGCTGCCTTAGAAATACAGTAGAATGCGCTTTGGTTTCTCTTAGCTCTTCTGATGATGATAACAGCTCTGACATCACGCAAATGACCATCTCTTCGTTTCATGACGTGTAAATGTCGGCATCCAGGAGAGCTAACGGGATTATTGCTAGACCACATAAAAGCCGACCTTATTCAGAGTTTTATTTCCCTCTCATTCAAAGACAACATGGCTTTGTAAGACCTCATTTTATGAGATCAAGAGGCACTGGATAATTTAAAGCTTTTTGTTTGTTGTGTTTTAAATTAAATTTTCACTGTTTCACTTTTATCCAAACAATGAGTTTGCATARCATAGAACCTTGCATTATCAATGCAGACAAGTTTCTTCCGTTTTGGTGAAATCCAAAACATCCAAATCATCAATTAAACTAACTCAGTTGAACACTTTGAGATGATGTTGTATTAAAATTCAAAATTCGAATACTGGCATTCTGTGTTCTAAGCTATATAATATTTACCTCAAACTGTTCWCATATTTTGATTTATGATTTTGAGAAATGTTTCTGATTTATTTTTTTTACTGTCCCCATACTGTTATTGTAAATGAATAATAATTTTTAAAAAATAGGAGGTTATTCACTTGGGTCAACCAGTAAACTCAATTTTAAATGTAAAGAAAGAAAACATCAAAGTAGAAGATTATTAGGGCCAGAGGTAGCTCAGTGGCTGATCATGTGCTTAGCATGCAAGAAGCCCTGGTTTTGATCCTTGGTGTCCCCCAACACACACACACACACACACACACACACACACACACACACACACACAAACAAAGATAGCAGGTTATCTACTAGTGAAAAACACTGTCCATCACAGCTGCAGCCAGGGAAAGCATGAAGGGAGCAGTAGATATGTTCTCTAAGTGTGCAGGATTAACTATCACGGGAAAGTGCCTGTAGTGGGTTGGGGTAAGTCCCACTTGCCAAGGCATCAAATAATRAAAGTGCCAAGCAGGCCACTGGTGCACAAACCCCGAATCTTTTCTTGCATCAACTGTTTGCATATTAATTTCCACTTGAGGTTTTTTATATTTATAGTAATAGGAAAAAACAGTATTTTATTCATGGAAAAAACATGACTTTACATCCAATTATTTTGTGTAAAAAGTCCATAAAGCAGAAATTTTCTTTTAGATATGAATGCATACAGGGTTTAACAAGGACATGTTTCCAACTATAGTTATTATATGATTAGTTCTAGAACCCATTAAAAGATCCTTTTAAATGATTGTTAGAATCTCTCATGGACTTTTGAAATGTATGCTTTAAGATGGTCTTTTTTTATTTTTTAAAATGTGGTCCGATGTTTCTAGATTTTTTTCCAAGGGTATTCAGCTATATGCTAATTATAATGAAGATAACATAATTAATTCTCCAAGCAATACAGCTGAAAAAATAACTTCACAAAGAATATGAAATCTTCCGAAAGAGATCTGCCTTCAGTCACTTTGGCCCATTTTCTATGTGACAACAGTAATGGGCGCATTAAAGAAACGAAGGTTCTCTCTGGCATAGGACTTGGTGAAACAGTGAGTGCCTCTTCAGGTCTCCAAATTTCAAAGCCCTGTGTGTATACTGATCAGGAATAAGGTCTTTGCATGCTGCTTCTGGGTAGGGCAGAGTCTTATCTCATGGCTCACCAGGGAGATCTTTCATCAGAGATCTTGTCTGCTGCGACATCTGACAGCAGTTAACATTGCTTTAGCTCTTGTCACTCTTTAGTTTTGTCAGTTGGCTCTTTCTGCTCTGTCCCTCAGACTAGTAAGAATGTACTTACCAATGCGAACTGTTTCTTTCTCTATTTTGTTCTCACTCAGGAGCCCCAAACTACTGTAATCCACAACCCTGATGGAAACAAGGTATTCAGAAAGAATCAACCACATCTTGCTTTCACAAGATTACACATCTCATCAAATTCTCAATACAAAATTCATTTATGATCTAAAAACGAAAAAGAAAATCTTTGTTCTTTGTTTACTGCACTTTGTTTTTGGCCTAATGATTCTAAAACTGTACACCAGACTTCTTTCAAATAAAAATGAATGACAGCTTGAAAGAGAAATGAATGATATCTTTGTAAGAAAATAAAGTCAGGCTATACATTTATGATGTCATTCTGTCATGATGACTGTGTATCTTAAGCAATTCTACGTGGTCTTTTTCGTTTTTCCATGCCTGTTTGTGCATTGTACTGTAGATGTATACTGCATGAAATTTTAGAATTTCTTGCTATCATTCCATTGTCTTCAAAAATATCAACTTGAGTTTRTAGGTATTTGTTTAAATTTAGTGTTGTTTCTGAGTTTTATTCTCTTCTGTTGTCATAGTATTTTGTTTTTGTTTTTGTTTGTTTTCAATTCCCTGTTGTTGACGATGTTGTTGTTGTTTGGCATGAATTTGAGGAGAATTGGGAGTTTCGTTTCTTGTGAAATATGTTTATCATTGAGTTATATGCATTTCAATAACAGATAGTTAATTATTTATGCTGAATGAAGACTAATATGCTCTACCTATTGTAAATTATTTGTACAGCATGTTAATTAAATAACAGCACTTGCATACATATCTAAGGGTGAAGGGAGACATTTTCTGAATGTATTTTATGTTTCCCGTTTATTGCTTTTTAGACATTATTTTATCTCTAAGGGGAAGAAAAATACCATCATTAGACTTTTATCAAATAATAATATAATCATGGGTCTTACTTCTCCTTACCCTCATCAACAATGGGTGGGCTTAGAAAATATATTTCCTCTCTGGTTTAACATTCCACTGGTCAATACTGAATCATTAAAGTAAAAAAACATTAAGTGTTATGTTTTTAAATATGAGATGCATTTTACAGTTAAAGACTTAAGGTAGTGAGGACCATCACACATGAGAATGATTTTTTCAATAGCATTAGCAAATGAAAGACCAAGCATAACAGCTGGAGTGGACACTTTCATAGTTCTAGCTATATCATTTGTAAGAGTTGTTGCATGGTATTCCTTGCTTACATAAATTAGTCTACTGTTATGATGCATGGGTTTATCTTCCATGTTTAAATCTGAACGCTATGTCACCTTAAGAAACGCATGAAGACTTTTTTTTTTTGGTTTGGTGTGTGTGGAGACTCTGGGTACATTTTTACATACTTATCCCTTTGATTCAAATAWTGTGTATTATATTTATATAAATTGATCACTTTTTAAAATATTGAATCTATAAAAAAACACTGACTGGTATTTCATCACTTTTCAAAATCTGTTTTATGTCACCGAGCATATAACTGTTGATTGAAAGTTTGCTTACAATTTTTTTCAGTAGCCTTGACTTATTCCAAATAGAAAATTGTATCTTTCTGATGCATATTGCAAAATTTTTTTCCTAGAAAATATTTTTATTAGTACACTTTCACTGAAAATATTCATCAAACCATTTTAAGAAACATACCTCAATATATGGCAATTACAGTGTACTTTTAAGTGTGCTAACTTGTCTTCAACTTAATTTGTAATTTCACAAATAAAGAACTTTGTCTTTTCATTGTGGAAGTGGGTTTCTTATCAATGACAATCAGTTTCTAATTTAGGCAAGATAGGAAAAAAATCTAAAAGTAAATTATTAAGTATAATTCCATTGTGCTGGCCCAACATGAAAAGTCTTCTTCAAATTGTTTTCAGCCTATTATTGGCTTAATACCTTTACTTTCTTTATTCTCTTAAACACATACAAAAAAAACATACTTTATGCAACACTGTGACACAAACACATCTTTACCCAGTTTTTAAAATAAATTATATTCTGCTGCTTCTACAAATCACCCAGAACTTATACTGCTACAGATTTAGGCAACCAGAGTACTCCCTTTTTGAAATGTTTATAACATTTGACATTTTATTTCTGTTAAAACCACTTAAATGTATTTGTCCATCTGCATGTCAGCATATGCACACAGCCTGCTGAAGAATTTTGCATGATATGCATATCACTAGTCAAATTCATAAGATGAAATCAAGCCATTCATTACATGCAACTTAAAAATGTGTTTTCTTCTCAACAGGAGTCAACTGAAAGTTCAAATACAACAATTGAGGATGAAGATGTGAAAGGTATGCTCAAGTCAGAAATGAAAAATCCTAACCCAAAGTTCCATATGTATCAGAAAAGAACATAATTTGTTTCAAATAAACAATGAATTTAGGAAGTAGTCTTATCCTGAAACACAAAGTTAATTTTTTATAAATACATTATTATTTCAATATATACATATTGACTTTTCCAATTTTTTTACATTATTTTATGTGTTTTAAAATATTGATATACTCAGATACATTGTTATCATGACAACTAGCATGGGTAGATGATAACAAATTGTACATTTGTCGATTAGAAAGTAATATTAAATTTATGCACATATTGGATATATTCATGAATCCTCTCTAGAATACAATTCATATTCAAGGACACAGTATGAAAACGACACTTGTTTAAACTTGAGATGGTTTCAAGTGGCTATCAATGGAATTTTGTTTTGGCAGCTTTTTTACTCTAGGTTTTCATGTACTTCTAATATATTCAGTTGCATTGTCAAAACTTTTTCAGCTACTGACATCTTCTCAGTATTAAACACATATTTGCTTGCTTCCTTGTGGCCACATCTCTGGGTTACTTTTGCTTCAGTCATTCATGTACTTTGTGTTCTTATTTTTGTGTATATAACTACAATTTTACAAGCCACTTGTTTAGAAGGCTAAAAAAAACATTCTGAAAAAGAATGGTTTAAAAAAGACATTTAAAATATGATTACTAAAGGAAAGGAAATATAAAGAAAATTGAAACATATGATACATCAATTAATTAAACCTCATGTAGAAAGACAATTTACCCAATAGCATCATCAAAGCTTATAATTCCATAGGTGGCTTTAGTAAAATATAGGATTGAAAGGTTGTATTCATGTTATTGAATAAACAACCAGGGAATTCTCAGGTCAAGGGAAGACATATGCACTTTAGGAAATAAAGATGACTGTGGACCACAAGTTGCCAGTCACCTCTGCTGACTTTTCCCTTTGGGGTTGAATAGAACAGCTGGCACTATTGAAGTGTACTTCTATGTATATTACTAGTGCACTGACTTAACTCTGCTAGAGGAAGACAGCCATTGTTTTTTATAGTTGAAAGGTGAATAGCTATGTCAGGTATTTTATATAGTAGGTCTGTTCATATCATTCTTGCCCCTGAGCTAAAATTTGAACTGAAATAATTTTATGAATCATTGATGCTAGTCACATTAGATATAGAGTTTTAAAAAAAAAAAACAAAAAACAAATAAACAGATGTGCTGCTTAGCTTTCTCAGTGATTCTAGAAGCATCATGTTCTTAAAGGGTTTGGATTCATTAACTCTTTCAGCTAAGCAAAATGTTATGTGTGATTTTTCACATTTTCCCCTTGATCAAGATTCAGAAAACCTATGCATTATCCACTGGAAAGACTGTGAATCTTAAAATAACTAAGTAAAATCAGGAGGATACCAACACTTCACTGTTTGCAGTTAATCTACCAAGAAGTTTGTAATTATTCGTTGGTGATTATGAGCAGAGTTCCTGAATTCAACTCTTCAGTTAAGAAATACTAACTCAGGATCATCGATATTAATTTATGTACATATCAGTATATACAAAGAGTCCTCTGATATTTCACAAATGAAAACAATATTTGCCTATATAGTTATGCTGAGTATATAACACCAAATGTTAGAGAAATGAAGCTTAATAATGAGTTCAGAAGAAATGTACAATTGATAATTGAGCCCAAAGTACTTTGGTTTATTTCCCTGGACCTAATAAATAAATTATTTAAGTTTCTGTTTAACTTTACTAGCATGGATCTGGCCACAGAATCCTAGAGAGAGTACTTTAGGCCTCATTTGTGTTCTCTATAAAACCCATACAGCCTTTGGGTAGCTTTTTAATATTGAATGAAAATGTTAAGACTAGAAGATGTTTTGCAAGATCACCCAGCCCATCATTTTGACTGTAAAGCAGGTGGTACATAACGTGGTCATGAATGTTTTGATGTATTTATTATGCTAGCAATATGTTTATGTAGGAATCTCTGCATTTATCAGTGCACAGTCCTCAAAAAACACCCMTTATAGTTCTGCATTTGAATGATGATACTTTTTCCTTCAGCTCAAAATTTGTTATAGCTCTGGGTAGCTTAATAGAATATTTGTTGTCCATCTCTGTTAGAAACCACATTTACCTATATATTAAACACGTAGGAACTGACAAAGACCATCAGTTATATAACCTGACCAGAACTATGTCCTCTTTACAAGACCATATCCCATCTATAAAATGGCATTTCTTTCTTCTGCACATACTCTGACCTTTCTGTGTAGCACCTTGTGATCAGGGAAAAACACCACACTTTTCAACAACCGTAAGGCATATTGCCTCAGCATACTCCTGCCTGGTGGCACATGCTCTATCCATTCCCTCCAGCCACCTCGTACGTAGCATGTCCAACATGTACTTTGTCTTGCAGTGTTTCATGCTGGTGTGATCCCTTGAACACCATATCACATGTTCCCCACACTGATGCCCCATCTCCAAGGACTGCCTGGCAGAATAAGCTTTTATGTTCTCTCCACTGCAGATAATGTGGGCAGGGGTGGGGAGGACTCACTCGTACAGTGATTTCGCCAAAGAGAAATGAGATAAACCAACAGCACAGTCCCCTTCTCCCTCACTCTTTGGGGTAAAACCATCATAGACAAGCCAGCTGTTCTCAGAGAAGGAAGAAAGGAGACATGGTAGATAGACTAATGGTGCTTCACAGGGGCACCTGGAGCATCCTAGTAAACCAAGGTTTAGAGGAGACTCACTTTCCTTTAACTCTGCCGGTTTCCATTCAGAATGACTATGGTTCTCTGAGGCCCAAATGAGGTGTTCCTTCTGGGCTGTGTCTAGGCTCACTTTCCTCATTCATTCAGCAAGTATTCATAGAATGCTTACTGTTTGCTTGAACTCCACGTTTCTTCTTGTCAAATAGTCATTGTCTAGCGAGTCCAGAGACGCAGAGTCCAACCACACTTCTATATGCTTTACCTGAGTCTTTTTTGCTAAAATGTAGGCTCATTCTCTTATGTAATTCAATAAGTATMAAAAAACATAGAAGGTGAGATTCCAGATAAGTGTATTTTTTTAATCTAAAAATCCTGTTATTTTTTTTAAAAACTTCAACATTGAGTTATAATCACACTTTTCTTCCTAAGCTCACAGCCATCGTAAGAAATTTGCCTCTTTTTACAACTCCTATTTTTCAAAAGCTCCTAGAGTTCCTTGTTTTCTTTCTCCAAAGGGAATGTGTTGACTTCCTAATGTTGACCTTTTATACAACTGTCTAATTTTGTCCTGTATTCAAAAACCAAATATTATTTCTGATGCTGTCTGTAAACTCAGCCACTAACTCAGTGTCATGGAGAGATACTGACAGTTTGAAAACAAATGTGACTTTTAAAGCATAGTTACTGCCACAGCAGCACTATGGTAAGAACAGATCATTATATGTCCCTCCCCCCAAAAAAAGAAAATAATAGTTTTCTGGCTAGAATTAACTTTTTTTTTTTTTAATTTTGAGACAGGGTCTTGATAAATTGCCCAGGCTAGCCTCAACTCTTGCAATCCTTTTGTATCAGGCTCCTGAGTAGCTGATATTAMAGGCATGCACCACTGTGTCCAGTTCAAAGTATACATTTCTAGGTCAAAACAGTTGAAACAGCCATTTCTATTTTGAATGCACTTGTAGTAAAACATTACCTTGAATCAATTTCAATGTCACTGAAAGGCTTTCATCATTTATATTTCATTAGAGAATGGCAATTCTAACAGTGCTYCTCCTTAGGGGTGTGGGTATACCCAAAGTCAATGATATTTAGCAATGGTTCTTTCCACACTGTAAACATTTGAAGACTGTCCTTTGGTTTGTGGCTATAGCCACTGTTTGCAGGGCCTGTCGCTGTATGCCACAATGCCTCTCCACYTCATAACCTGTCCAGCACCATTGCTCAGAGTCAGCTACCACTTCCTGATGAGTGCACGTCCATTTGATCCATCTGCTGCTCTTTCCCAGCATTCCCAAGTTGTGCAACACCTGTTGAAGCTGGGCTCCTGTATGCCCTTGTCATCTGTGTCACTCYGCTTCCAGTATCTCACTTCAGCTCACCACTGAGCAGCTGCTTGGATCTCTTGCTGCATTTCATCCTTACATGTCTAGGACAGTGAAGTTCTGTGCGACAAACAGAAATCTGTAGCTTTGAGACTGATTGTGTGTGGAGCTATGTCCTTATTTGCCCTCTTTTTCCTTTTCCTGACTAATAGTTGATGGTAATGAAGCTGTATAGGATGTTTGCACAGTTATGGGCAGAGATGTTGGCACCCTTATMATTTGAGTGAGGTTTGGTATTTGATGATACCCAGATTTCCTGGTATGAGCTAATTGGCAGAATCTTTTAATGAATGAGCTGTTTGCATGTATMTTTTATAAACATGCACATTAGTATACTGTATGGTGACTAAATACTCAGACTTAGCTCTCCTTAAGTTCTGCTTTATTGATGAAAATCCTCATTTCTGTTAGGATTTCCTGGGGCAGATAATAAAATGATGGCAATCTTCTTCAGATCTGCATGTAGTTCATCACTTGACTTGTCTTACATGTTTTCCTCACTTGCAGAATTATGCCATTCCATTAGGCAAAAAATGTCTTAGAGGACCTTTAGTGTAGTATAAAATAACTGCTTTGAGTTTTCTAATCTAAAATTTAGTTTTACAAGATTATTAAGAAAATCTCTTATCCRTATGTGTTCATCTACCTGACGACCTTTTAGCTTTTAAATCAGGATGAGTAATTCACAGAATTGATGCAGAATTTATTCTATTCTGCTACCAATACAAAATAGTTTTTTTTTCTCTTGTATGTCATTTTCCCACATTTCTTCTACTTTATCTCTATATTCATTCTGTTTTTCTCTTTACTTTTTGCCTTCTGACAGGTCTGTATCTTGAAGAGCTTTAGGTTTGTGTAACTCCGCTGACAAAA